TTTAAAAACATGCCAATTGATTATCCAATCATTTATGTTTGTAGGTATAATTTTATTTTGTCAAGCAGACTACATTTAGTGATGAAATACAATGCAGAGTAAGCTAATTGCAAATAAGTTCAGATAAAGTTACTTTAATATGCAACAGAAATAAAGAAAGTTTGATGCCTGATTTAGTACCTCTTTGATTTATAATCATGATACAAGTACCCCAATAACTACTTTAAAATGTAAATAGCCAAGTCAACCTGTGGACAAATCAAAGTAGAGTGCATTATGTTTAAGAAAGAAGGAAGTTTTATTTTTATAACACCAGTAATTAAGAAATTCTCAAATGTGCTTCACAGTAATTACTGCCATGTGTAGTGATTGTTTTAATAGGCAAATGCAAAGGTTAATTTGCACATAGCAAAGTCCCACAAACAGCCATGAGGTAAATAACCAATTAATCTTGTGGAGTGTTGACCAGGACTCCAGGAGGAAATCTATTGGGATCTTTAACGCTCATCTGAAAAAGAGACAATGTTAAGACATCCATGTCATAATATTAACAACAAGAAACTTTATATAATCTATACTCAGTGTTTTATTTTAAACAGAATGTCTTGAGGATTCCCTGATGGTCCAATGAGCAAGTACGCTGTTTGGTCTTTCACCAGAACCAAAGCCCTTGGAGCAAGGAACTACATTTGTAGCACTTGCTTCAAATCATTCTCAACCAGGAATAAATCCAAATTAAAGAGCTCGGTTAAGGCTCCTGCGCAGATCTCCATTCACCAACACTAAATAGCAGTTCAGTTTTCATATTATTTAAAGTACATATAATGGTCCAATTGGCCACCTTAGAACCTTTTAAAATATAATTAATTTTAGGTTGAAAAGTTGACTTTGCTTCGGTTGCAATTAAACAGGAGTTGGACTGCAGTCATTCGCACCAATTTGATTCTCAGACTGCCTCCTGGAGATTTCTTCGAGAGCAGGACACAAAAATTAAATAAGTATCCAAAAGAGATATTCAGGCTATTATGCTTTTATTATTCATAAAATACAACAAAAGTACCTTGACATTAATGTACATTATAAGTGGTCCAATGCAGTTTAGGGAGGACTCAGGTTTGTCAATTGATACTGTAAGTTGGTCCTGGTCAGTGTGAAATAGCTGCCAGTGTCCATGGAACCATATTTCAGGTGAAAAGAAGAAGAAAGAGTTGGAAAGGGGAATTTAATTTGCATCTATATGTTTTGTAAAATCACAGGCTGACAAGAGTATATTTAGAATAAGAAACAGCATTCACTCTGGAGCAATTACATGTTTTAATAGGCAAAAGTCTTAAAGTCTTTAAGTTTAAAAAAAAAGCCTTGTAAACATGTAATCTTGTAATTTGTTATGTTATCCAAATGATAAAAATATTAAAGATGGGAAGTAAAAGAAAGGCTTTAGAGCTTATGATGTAATATCATCTTTAAGATAAATTTTAAAAACTCCTCCCTTTATATAGATTATTAAAAAGAGACCCTTGAGTTATAAGTTAGAGCTTGAATTGTATTGTCAGTTCTGTAAATTATTTTAAACCACTGATAAATATTAAAATCATCAGTAAAAGAAAGTCTTGAAAACAGATGATACGTAACAGCTGATTGAAACAAGCTTACCTTAGCTTCCCTAGAATCTCTCAACTATTGCATGAAGATATTTAAGCTTGAATATATAACTGCAGAAAGCACAAACTTAAAATATAATTTGGAATTTTAACATGTTACATAAAAGATATGCAGAGTGGGATGATCTGTGTTCTTTAGAATTGTTGTTTAAACATTTACTTGAACGCTGGCTGGAGAAATAATATTTTTATTGTATATTTGCCCAAGTAAAGACATTAAAATGTAGGGTTTTTTTTCTTTGTTTTGATAGTTGTGTTGTTATTTATCTTGGAGAATAAATGTTACGTCTCTGGAACAAAATGTTTACGTATCATATCATTTAAAAAGAAAACTACTCTATCATAGAGAAACAATATTTGTATTTAGTTGAATAAGCCTGATAATGTTAAATAATAGTGAAGGTTAAAACTAATATTTTGAACAGACTGATTTTTAATCAGCTGGGCAACTAACATACAATATTAGGTCTTTAATATTGGAAAATGAAAAATATAGAATTGTAAATGATGGAAGGGTACCAGATCTTATGTAAAAGAATATATTATACAGTATTATATTGTAGTATTATATTGTAGCACCGTCAGAGTTCAGTTGCCAGGCATACCCTTTGCAAAACAATAACAGAAGACACAAAGATTTGAGGTTCTTTGAAAGTTAAAACATGAATTGTTTTGCATCTCCAAAGCCCAAACCAAATGCTGTACCCCTAATATGGATGTTTTTATAAATAAAATCGTCCTGTGAAACCATATAGGAAGAGTAACTGATTCTCCAGCAGTTTCGAGAGTATTTATTTATATGATATGCAGCAAGGCTTGTTACTGCTTGCAGAAATTGCATACAACATATTTGGTATTTTGAATGATTTTGAAGCTATTTAGAAATACCTGTAGACCTGAGGAGAGAGTCAGTGATTTGCTACCTTTTGTACAATTGTACTTTTGATTGTTGTGGAGTTCTGTAGTCTTATCAGATTTCTTCTGAAATGATTTGCTGGCAGAAGCTTCTGTTTGGTGGGCTATGTTATTCGAAACAAACACAAAGCCACAGAAAAAAAAATAAAGGCTCGAAGAATTAATATGAAACCGAGGGTGCACATTCCACAAATTTGTCTTGAGTAAATTCTTGACAGGTACAATATGTGTCGTACATCAAATAACGGGCGTGTGTTTCAAGGGAGAGCTTGCAAAATTTGACAGGGAACATTCGGAGATCGTTTTATTCTTTCAAGTGCAAAAGAACTTATTGGAACAAATAGAACCCATTCAGTGATATATTTGCAAAGTATAATTTGGCACAGATGTAAGGCAGCATGTGAGAGTAGCACAATATTCTGACAAATACAGCAGCAGTATATAATTCTGATAAACGTAGCAAAGGGGAAGCATTACATGCTGACTGTACCTTATGCGTTTGCTGAAAATGAATAGAACCATGTGGTATATAATTTCCCTCAATTTAAAAAAAAATGTAATTAATATTTCCAGTTGGATACCAAAGCCATAAACTGAGTATGAATTAAATAAACAGGTAGACAGAGGTTCCTCCACTGTATTGTTTTAATCACTTGATAATAAGGGGAATATAAATTTATTTTAGTGTCCAGCATGTTTGCACAATTCTCCTGCAATTACTGAGGACTTATTGATATTAGTGGTTTGTTAATTAGGTCCGAATTGGCTATTGTGCAGCTTTTGCCCTGCATGACGTGCTTTGTTCTCAGTGTGCATGGAGGAGACGTTTTGCTTGAAGGTGTTTTGTACAAATAAAGCTAGTTTTGATGTTGTAAGTGTGCCATTTCTGCAATCGTGGTCTTTTCCGAAATAATATGTAGGAATAAATAGAATTTAAAATATGTAATGACTGCTGGGAGACGTGACACATGCAGGGCAGGCACTGTGATGTTTTATTTTCCTGGTCTTATTTGCAAAAGTGGATGTGACTGTGTTATTGGGTGGTAACATTTCATTTTTTTAAAAGAGTAAATGAATAAATATGGGTTGTTATTATTTTATAAAAGACAGCAATGAATCACAAAACCAGGAGATACGTTTTTTTGTTTGCAATACCTGGTTCTAAAGTCTGTTAGAGAGCAAGATACCAGGAATGACATATCTGTGTGTATATATATATACACACACACTATGAATTAAAGTAATCTTTTGGAAAATGTTGTTTTCTTCGCCTCTCTGCACGTTATATCGTATTTTCAGGCAACACAACAGGCGTTTCGTCACGAGGAATCACCACACAACCCAACAGTTGCCTGTGTTGTGTCTCTTTTAATTGTAACCACAAAAAAAGTAACGTGAATGCAATGCTTATTGCTGGTGTGTGTGTGTGTGTGTGTGTGGTGGTGGTGGTGGTGGTTTGTGTTTTGTTGTTGTTGGGAGAAATGTAGTATTTCAAGAACAGGTTATAAACACTCGGTGGGAGCAAAGTAAGACACAGATGTGAGTGAAATCCAAGATTTTATCAGACACAGTGATTTCTCTCTCTCTCTCTCTGTGTGTGTGTCAATGCTGTTCATTCCATTCAATTCCATTCCAGGGAATAAAAAGCAAATAAAAAGTGGATCAGCATAAAAAAAACACTACTTTTTTAGAGAACAAAATAAAAACCGAGATTGATTATTTTTTTTTTGGAGGAGGGGAGGGAAAGGGACCAAAAAAAGGGGAACTTTTTTTTAATATAGTAAAAAAAAACACCCAAATCACTTGTTTCCAACACATTTTTAAGGGGTGGGGAGGAACTGAAAGTATATATAATATATATAGAGAGAGAGAGAAAGAGAGAGAGAGAGAGAACAAGTTGGAGCAGCCACAGAAATTGTTCCATGAAGTTCTAGAAAGGGAGTTGGGCGAAAATAAAAAAAAATGCCTAAAAATGTTTTGGGGGCAGAGAGGGCGTGGGGTGGGGGGGGGGGTGGGGGGGGAGAGAGAGATCATCCAAAGCGAGTGAGTTTCGAGCCTTTTTTTTTAAAAGAAAAAATAAAAACTTGGGCTCAGCTTCAGCTCAGCCATCACTTCCGTGTTGCTGCCGGTGACAGCGATGCGCTCTCGCGAGATGTGTGTGTGTGTCTCCCCCCCCCCCATCCAATTGGAGAGCGGCGGCGGAGGGCGAAGGGCATTCGGGCCGCGATGCTTTGTGGGATATGTAGTTCGGGGGGAGGCAAGCGCCGAGTGCCAGCGAGTCCGGGTCCCTGACGAACTGCGTTTCCCACCGCGCACCGCGCGACCCGGAAACCGCTGGCCGCTCGCCAGCGATCGACGGGGCCTTCAGCCAATAGCGGGCGCGGAAATCCAGGGCGGGCGGGCGGGCGGGCGAAGCGCGAGGTGGGTGGGTGGGGGCGGTGGTTTCCGGTCGCTCTTGTGGTCTGTGGCGGTTGGTGACGGCGCAGCTCGAGCGATGGTCTGCGCGCTGCAGTTGGGATCTCTCCCGGCGCCTCAGCTCTTCTACTGGGCTGGGGTGCTGTCCGTGACCTGGGTGGCGCTGAGAGCGGCCTACGGGCTGCTGCTGCACGGGGCGCGAGTGTACCTGCTGGGGCACGGCCTCGCGGTGGAGCGGTGCGGCCGCTGGGCAGGTGAGTGAGTGAGTGAGAGAGGGAGGGAGGGGGCCCGGGAGGCCCTGACAGACACCCGACAGCGCAGAAAGTCCCGCAGCTCCGGCCCCTGTGCCTGGGGTTCAGCAGCTGGTGATGGGGGTGTTTTTTTTTCTCTCTCTCTCTCTCTGTTAAGTTGTATATCAGGTGATTTTCCCCCCTTCGCCCTGACCCCCGTTTTGATCTCCAACCTCTCGCGCGCACCGGGTTAGGCGGACAGGTTGGTCGCCAGTCACCTTCTCTCGCCCCCCCGATGACATTCCCTCAACCAGGTCACTCACCGGTCCCGGTCCCGGTCTGGTGGTCTCTCTCCTCGTCATCAGTTAAATCTCTCTCTCCCTTATTTGTTAACCGTCTCTCTCTCTTTTTTTTCTTGCTCACTCGCTTCTGGTCATCCTATCTCTTTTTTTTNGGGGGGTGGAGGGGAACCAGTTGTTCCTGTTCCCGTTCCTTGCTTTCTCACACGCCCCGAGTTTACTGAGAGCCATTCGTCCCCCACCCTCCAACGAAGAGAAAACGTGCCAAAGTGAGAGAGGTGAACGTATTCAAACATTGCGTTGCTAAACTGGATTCCTCGCTCACTCACTCACTCACTCATTGCCCCTTTGCGTTTAAATCTCTGCCATCAACAGTCCCAAAAGCCGGACCAGGGCTTGTGCTGCCCAAGTTGACGAGCCTTTCCTTTCCTTGTTTTCGATGCTTAATTTGCAGTAAGCGAGTGCGACGTAAGACAGTTTGGCCTCTTGAGGGTCCGAGCGATTAACGCGATGCGGTGTTTGTCGTGTTCGCGTTTGCGAACCGAAATGGTTTTCATTCCCACAAGGCTGCCACGTTTGGGTAATACTTTGGAAAGTGGAGCGAGGGGGCAGTTTGGAAGCGATCGGACCCTGTCCCCTATTTTCTTGGTGTTTCAGTGTGAATGTGTGTCACACCTCATTACTAATTCAGTTTTAGTATAGTTAAGGTAATGTGATTCTTAAGATATGGCCTCCAGCTCTCCAGGCAATGTCTGTGTCCAGCAAGTATCGTTATGCGTCCAGTTTTTTTACTGTTTTGTTCTGGTTCATTTCTGTTGAGGATGTTTGCAAACTTTTACATTTACGAAAATCGATATTGGTTGGAAGATCTAATTTGATCCAACCACATTGGCACGAAGTTTGGAACTGATTTATACATTGTCGAAAGTGTTCTGCTTTTTTCAGGATAGACACCTCACTGATTGAATTATCAGTGATAGTCCAGCCTTTTTGTCAACAGTTACTGTTCTTTGACGAGTATTTTTCCTTCAGTTCAAATGAAATATAGTGTAGAGCACCATCTGGAGGCCTGGGTAAGAACTATCAATTTACTCACATATCAACACAGACCACGATCTCCTCTTTAACTCTTCAACAACAAGATTTCATTTATAGAACGCCTTTCACGTCGGGAGGACGTCCCAAGGTGCTGGACAGTTGGGTCAGGACCCAAGCATGGGGGAAATGGTCAGGGTGAGGGAAGGGAGGGAGCGAGGAGGGGGTAGAGAGTCAAGAGGGGAGCTGAAGGCACGGTCAAAGAGACCGGCCTTGAAGGAGGAAAGAGAGGAAGCAAGGCGAAGGCACTGGAGTTCCAGAGCCATTCAGTGATCTGCTGCTAGATCGCCCGCAACACAAAAAGCAAAATTTATTTTTGCCAGAAATTACTATCATTGATTTTTAAATATTTAGTCAATTTACTGTTTTTTTGCTTTCTGTGACAAGCCTGTGTGGAGTCCTGTAGCTCAGTGAATAGAGCACACCTAGCAAGCAAGAGACCTGGGCTTGATTCGTGGAAGGACGAAACCTTGGGCAAGTTTCCTTGCTCCACATGCCTGATAATAATCCCTCAAGAAAAAAACATTAATAAAATTGGTCATTTTAATCCACGACTGTTTGTGGGACACTGCTGTGCACAATTGCTGCCGCGTTTCACCCACAAATATACAGTCAATTCACTTTACAGTATATTCTGTGAAGCGCTTTGAGACGTCCAGAAGACTTGAAAAGCGCTATGTCAAATACAAGGATTATTATTATTAAGCCAGGGCAATATTTTGGATTTAGATGAGAGCAAAGTTTTAAGTGTTGGCAGTTATCCAGATAAGATTTTTTTCTTCTTTCAAACCTTGCAGTCCCATGGTATCAGTGAAATGCTGCAATCTGGAAATATTGCTCTGCAGAATTCAAACAATGTTTCACTCCTTCCTCCTCAGTGTTAGAGTGCTGGCCTCGCATCTTTTTGGAACAGAACTATTATCGAATTTATTATGATTATAGTGTCAGGGTTATGGAGATTGTGTCTACCACTTGGAATTTACGTTTAAAGATGATTAGTTTCTTCATGTACCTATACACTTCCAGATAAGTGTTGACTAAATAAGACGTTATCTAAATGTTAGACCTTGATTTAGAATTGTTTTGAATACCCCCTTTGATTCAGAATATCAAATAAAACCTATTTAATGTCATAGTGATTTGTGACTATGATCTCTAATTCATGGTATGGATAATGTTCATCAGTTTGGAGTGGACGTTTTTGAAGGAACACCAAAACCTCTTTCCCAATTCAGTACATATTTGAATTAATCATGCTGTATCATAAATAAACCTAAAGAAGCTAAACTTGTAATAAAATTTGGAGAACACAGGAAACTCTCCAGTGCCTTGCCCAAGTTGTCATTCTTTCATCTGATGTCTAAACCTACACTTTCCAGCAGTTTGTAGAGGGAACACTAGTTTATCTTCCTTCTCAGCCAGATAAACCTGCATGAATTTTAACTAGTTCTAGTAGATGTTGCTGGACAGTGATCAGGCGTAGGAATCCTGAACGATTTTCCTTGGCCTAGCTTGGAGCACTGAGACCAATTGCAGTGTCCTAGTGCTATGTGTGGGTGGTGTTGCTCAGATGCTGCAAGTGACCGTCTATCTTAGGCACTTGCGCTTCAAGGGCTCTGGAAATTGTTTTGCCATTTTTTAAAAAAATCTGTTACTTGTGTCTTTTGAAATTGTGTGGCCATCCATTTCTATCCCTACCCTCCCTGGCCTCCACCCCTCCTGATCCCAATCCCCTGCTTGGGTCTAAATCCCCGACTATCCAGCGCCTTGGGATGTCCTCCTGACATGAAAGACACAATACAAAAATAATTTGTTGTTGTTGTCAAAGTGGTAGGTCCTTAGGTGGGGTTTGAAGGGCGGGGGGAGGTGAAGATGGGGCATTATGACTGAAGGTGGGGCAGAGGGATTGATGTACACTCAGCAGGACTGAGAGTACCACATGGAGAGTGCGAGCAGAAGATTCTGGAGAAGAACATTGAGGCTGGGGAAGAACATAGAAGTAGGGAGAAGTGAGGGCATGAAGGGTAAAGTATCAGTCCTCTCGTTTTAATTCTACATTAGTTTCTCATTGAAAACATACAACTTGTACTTTTAAAACATATTTCACATAGGACAGAGTGGAAAATCAAACACAGTGGGACTTGGAGGTGGTGGAGGAGGGAGAGAATTGGAGGAAAGTGACTGAAAACACAGTGGCAGAGTCCTGAGGCAGGTTTTTGAAGGCAGAGGGGTTGGGGGGGTTACATCCTGGAGTTGCTTCCATATCACCCCCTGCCTCCCCACTTTAAAAGCCCACGGTTGCACCTTTATTTTTAGTCAAAGAAAATTTTGAAGAGAAACTAATGTGTAATTGAAACTAGCAGAATACGTAGATCTACAATAAAAAATAAGTTTTTATTCTGATAAATTAGAAATCTGTAAAAATCCTTAAATTAAGATTAAAGGATAATCTTCCTTAAAGGATTTTTTTTGTAGAAAGCTAACTATTTTCTACCCATCTATGGCAGAATTAAAATGAATTTGTTCCTACTATTTTGAGGAACAATGATTTTTTTCTGCAGTTCTATTTCCGATGTCATAAATAGCACATTATACAGATTGATGAGCAATGTATTTTAGGATTCTGCTTTTGATTGCACATCAACTGGGTATGAATGAACCATGTTTCACCAAGTTGTTTTCCATGTTACCTGAAATAATTATCTTCGGCCAAATTGCAAAAAGTTATTACTTCTAAAGAGAAGATGGTGGGCTACGTAAAAGAACATGGTCGTGGGTTTTCTTGGGAGGCGAAGAAGGTAATTGATGGTGTAGTTGTAAAAATCGATAAACTGATTTGAATGCAATGGTCATTATCAAGATAATAATCCATTGGTAAGGTTGCATTCATAATTTTACAAATGCTGAAATAGAAAATTCTGAACAAAGAGTGATCTGTGGCTGAGTTGCTTTTGTGAATCGTGAATGATGCAGTGAGCCTTGGGCATGAGACTTGCGGTGAGCTGCAGGTCTAATTCCTGTGAATGGTGAGTTGTTCTGACTGGGTTTGAACGGAGTGTGCTGGTCACGTGAATGGAACAGAGGCTGAGACACGTGCTATCATCAGGGCTGGTGAATGTAGCGTGCTGACAATAGTTCAGTGCCCAAAGGAACCTTCTGTCACTGCTCTTCCAGTGTGGTTGAAGTGAATTTTCTGTCAAATTAGAATTCTTTGATAAATATTACAAAAACATCAGGATTTCTAATAAGACCCATTTTGTCACTGAGTTCTATGCTCCCAAATGTTGTAAGACAACAACAACAAATACATTTGTGCAGCGCCTTTCACGTTGGGAGGACACCCCAAGATGCTGGACATTCCAGGATTTGGACTTAACTATGACATTTCAATGTGATTTTAAAAAAAAATGCATTTTTGTTAATATATCAAATATTGGAGGGTAAAATATTTATTGTCGCATGGATTAACTGGTAATTTCATAATAGTGAAGAATGACAGTTGTGTTTGCCTTCCAAAACAGAAACTATACTTTGTACAATGCAGTTTTCTTTTAATAGATATATGGTTGAAGAGTATATTGTTGCTACTTTATTAATTTTTGCTGGTAAAATGGATGTACATTCGTGGTT